GATCCGAACCCACAACCTTGGTGTTATCAGCACCGCACTCTCCCGAGTGAGCCACAGGCCGGCCCGGGTATTTGCATTTTAACAGAGTGTCGGGCCTCCCTGAGCCAGAGGCCGACAAAACTGGGCGGGAAGAGACCCCGGTCCAGCCGGGGGTCCCTTGCGGGGCCGAGCGGGATGATGAGTGTCGCTGGCACGGCCCTTCCCCCCCCACGCCCTTCCTCCCCGGGGGCCGAGAAAGAACACCGCCGAGCCAGGAGAGTGGTCAAAGCCGGAACTCCGTTTATTAGAAAGGTGTTGGAGTTTATATAGAGGAAGAAAGCGGAAACAGAGAGGAGAGGCGGGAGGAGATGGTTATCCAATCAGGGGAAGCCACAAGTTATGAAGAGGGGTGATGACAGGGCGGGCAAAAACTGCTTAGTCACTGGGCCCCGGAAAAGAAGGACTTCTAGCTACGTGCATTAAAGCGCTCGTGAAACGGCGGCGGAGGCCTTACGCCAGCAAGATGGCCACCGCTTGATCTATTTTAGGGAACAGGAACCATACTTAGGCAGGCACCTTATGATTTGATTGCGCCGCAACATGGCCCAACACCTCTGAACCAAAGCATCTGCTGGATAGATGGAGCCCAGGTCAGATGCCTATGCCCAAGCTGCAAGGGAGGCCTGGAAGGCCAGTTTCTGACTTCCACCCATTGGAGGCAGTAATGTAATGTGAGAAAATCTTCACTAAGAAGATGCTGGATGTCCATAGATTACAGCAGATGTCTACTTTACATAGTCTATGCCAGTGCTTCTCAAACTTTTTTTTTTTTTTTTTAAAGATGACCGGTAAGGGGATCTTAACCCTTGACTTGGTGTTGTCAGCACCACGCTCAGCCAGTGAGCGAACCGTCCATCCCTATGTGGGATCCGAACCCGTGGCCTTGGTGTTATTAGCACCGCACTCTACCGAGTGAGCCACGGGACGGCCCTCAAACTTTAATATATAGACAAATCACTTGGGGATCATGTTAAAATGCAGATTCTAATTCAGTGAGTCAGGAGGGAAGGGGGAATAAGATTCTGGTTTGTTTTCTATCTCCATAGTTTTTCCAGGCACTATTCTAAGTGTTTTACTTGAATTAACTCATTTAATTATCCCACCCCATATAAAGCAGAGAGGGTAGCTAAGAATACTTTCTTTTGGATAAGGTGCTACTGTCATTGTGAATTTCTTAATAAGGTGACTCACTTGAGAGATAATGTCTCTCCTTTGAAGCAATTTGGTTCTTTTTTTTTTTTTTTTCCAAAGATGACCGGTAAGGGGATCTTAACCCTTGACTTGGTGTTGTCAGCACCACGCTCACCCAGTGAGCTAACCGGCCATCCCTATATAGGGATCCGAATCCGCGGCCTTGGTGTTATCAGCACCACACTCTCCCAAGTGAGCCACGGGCTGGCCCAGGTTTCAATATTTTGCATTTAAAAACCCTGGCAAGTACGTCTTCTGACCCACTTGCAGTTTTAATTTCAGGATGGAAACATATAGGAGAGAAATGGGAGATCTAATCCTTCTCATGCTGTTAGGGGAAATGATAGGTGTGAAAACATTGCTTCTGGTGTGTGTGTATTGAATACATATATAACAGCTTTATTGAGATATGTCAAAACTATAATATTCACCCTTTTAAAGTATACAATATAGTGGGTTTTAAAATACTAACAGCGTTAAGCAACCTTATTGTGCTTGTTTCTTTGTTTGTTTTGTTTCTTTTTAAATAAAGCTCCTTTTCAAGCCTTTCTTCAGACCCAAGTGACTTTGAACCTATCTATATGGAATCTACATGATCAACTCCTGCCATGGCTTTTATACGGAGCAATACCGAAGATTTCCTTTATGAAATAACCGTCGGATCTCCCTGGTTAGGAGGACATTTACGTAAGGTCACTTTGGGTGATACATCCTAACAGTCTCTCAACTCGCCGTTCACTCAACTTATCGAACAATTCAAGTAACTCACTCATTCACTCATCGCAGCAGACCCCGCCTCGGGACTGGGTCTTACTGATTGGCTGGTGCCGAGTGACGTCTTCAGATCGCGACCCGGGAGTGGGGGTGGCGTGGTTATGCGGCTGGGCTGTTGGCTGAGGTTCAGGGTTCTTGGTCATTGGCGCTTAGACCGCTGGAGCCTCAGACTTGCCAGGACTTGGGGTGGCTGTGGGGGTCCTATGGCGGAAACACTCTTGACCGGGGTCGAGGCAGCGGGAGGGCTGAGGTGTCTGGCTCAGGAAAACGGAGAAGCTGGTGGCGACGCGAGGGGTGAGCGGCTCCTGGAGCGCCCGGAGCCGGCGGGCCCGGGTGTGGAGCAAGCCCTAGGAGTCGGGGAGCAGGGCTCGGCTTCAGCCTCGGGCCCAGGCAAGCGGAAAAAGCGGCGAGGCGCAACCGGGGAGCGCGTCGTGCCGCCCCCGAAGAAGCGGCGGGCTGGCGTGAGCTTCGGCGACGAGCACTTTGCAGAGACTAGCTACTACTTCGAGGGCGGCCTGCGCAAGGTGCGGCCCTATTTCTTTGACTTCCGGACCTACTGCAAAGGCCGCTGGGTGGGCCACAGCCTTCTGCACGTCTTCAGCACCGAGTTCCGAGCCCAGACCCTGGCCTACTACGAGGCCGCCGCCCGGGCGGGTCGCCTGCACCTCAACGAGGAGCCAGTACGGGACCTCAGCATCGTGCTCAAGGTGGAGTACTGATAGGGCTGTCCAGAAGCGGGCGAGGAAAGGGGACAGTTTTTTTTCAGACCTAGTAGAGCATAGCAACTGGAGTAAAATCATGGTAACTCCGGAGTTCTCTCGCTTTCATCTCCGCAAGTAGACTGTGCTTCAGACCTCAGTCCGTTTATCCTCTCCTCCAAGGTGGCCTCCTTCTTTCCAAGTTGGAATTCTCATAGTTCCTTTTATACACTGTCTTGTAGCAAGGACTCTAATCACTTTCTACCCTGCATTGTAGATCTCTGTACAAATTGTAATAACAGGGACTATCACTTATGTCTCTTTACTGTATGCGGGGCACAAAGTTAAGCATTTTATGTACTTTAACGTTTAATTCTAAGGACAACCTGTGGAGTAAGTATTTCCACCCCTGTGAGATGTTTACCTGTGAGGAAGCTGAAGAAACTAAGTTAAACCTCACAGAGGTAAGGCAACAGTGCCACTTCCAAAGCCTGTGTTCTTATTACTAAACTATTTATCACAGAGCCTGATATGTGCTAGAATTGTGAGATATCAAGGATAGAGATTAGAATTATCTAGCCCAGTGCTTGACCCCTTCTTTAAAATTCCATTATAGCTACGAGGTACCAGACACCCCTCTGTCAGTACAACTGGCTCATTATGGTTGTGAGGGGAGACAAGGTGATTTCACAATTTGGGGAATGGATGGTTTGAATCCTGTTCCCATTCCAAAAGCACAGGCAATGGTCTAACCCTCACATTTTATGCATAAGGAAACTGAGGCCCAGAGAAGTTAAGTGACTTGCCAAGAGCGTGTAGTAAGTCTGTGGCAAATCCAGGTCTAGAGCCCAGATCTCTGGACTTACAGCTTGGTGTTTGTTCAAGGCCATGATAAGTGACAATTTTTTAGTGTTTTTCCTCTATTTTAGAAAAATTTACCTTTAAGGGTTGGCTGTTAGCTCAGTTGGTAAGAATATGGTGCTGATAACAATCCAGGGTTCGATCCCTGTACTAGCCAGCTGCTAAAAATATTTAAAAATTTACTTTTAAAATATAACTTTATTATAGAGAAAATACAAATAAAACCAAAATCCATAATTTCATCACCCAGAGATATTACCATTATTTATGTGTATATACTTCCAGTATTTTTCAATGCCTGCTATCTGCCTGTGTGTCTGTATTTTTACAAAATGAGATCCCACTACGCACACTGCTTTTTCTGCTTAAGTTTGAACTGTGACCATTCTTTCTTATCAATAAGAAATAGGGGGAGCAGGGTATGAAGTTGACTGATGAGAGGCTGCTGGCCCCTAGGCTGACTAGTTATTTCTATCTTTGACAGGACAATGATTTCTTGCGCAACACGGTTCACAGGCATGAGCCACCAGTCACGGCAGAGCCTATTCACCTGTTAGCTGAGAATGAAGACGTGGTGGTTGTAGATAAGCCTTCCTCCATTCCCGTTCACCCCTGTGGCCGCTTCCGACACAACACGGTCATCTTCATCCTGGGCAAGGAGCACCAACTCAAGGAGCTACACCCATTGCATCGGCTTGACCGCCTTACCTCAGGGGTGCTCATGTTTGCCAAGACAGCTGAAGTTTCTGAGAAAATTCATGAGCACGTTCGGGACCGGCAGGTGAGCCAGACTTTTGTCTCCTGCAGGCCACATCCTGTGCTCACAAATGCTTTGTGTCAAAAAGGCAGCACAGAGTTCTAGATCTAAAGTAGGCCTTCAGGTTTATCTGGCCAAACTTCCTACCTTCAGGAGGATTAACATCTGAAGTGCCAAATACATGTTATCATTTTGTATGTTTTAAAAGATCTTTAGAGATGGTATACACTGCATCTGTTGGTAGTTTGCCATTTTGAAGTTTTAAAGTGTTGACAGACTGAGCAAGGTTTTTAAGACTGCAGGGAGAGCCTCGTTGGTAGAAAGATTCTATGAAGTTGGACAAGGCTTTGGTAGAAGAGTTTAATGGTAATGACTATGGTCTTGAGACTTGTAATCCCAGATCTGGATCGTAATACATTTATTAAGTGTATAATGTATACCAGGCTTAGTACAAAGCACATTAGAACCTAACTTACTGAATGCTTACAACAACCCTGAGAGATAAATGCTTTTCTAATTTCACATTTTCTAGATAAGTTAATGGGACTTAAAGAGGTTAAGTAATGTATCCAGGATGATGAATCTGACAAAAGCTAGAGTTGGGGTTTGAATCCTCTTCTGTCTGACACTAGTGTATTCTTATCACTCCCCAGAGAGTTTGGATTCTATACCTTTAGACTTTGTGCTGACTTTTTCCCTCTTGCCTCCTGTGTAGCTGGAGAAGGAGTATGTGTGCCGAGTGGAAGGGGAGTTCCCCATCGAGGAAGTGACCTGCAAAGAACCCATCTTAGTGGTGTCTTACAAGGTCGGAGTGTGCCGTGTGGATCCCCAGGGCAAGCCCTGTGAGACAGTGTTCCAGAGGCTGAGCTACAATGGCCATTCCAGTGTGGTACAGTGCCGGCCACTCACAGGTCGTACCCACCAGATCCGAGTCCACCTCCAGTTCCTGGGTCACCCTATTCTCAATGACCCCATCTACAACTCAGTTGCCTGGGGCCCCTCCCGAGGCCAGGGTGGCCACATTCCCAAGACAGATGAGGAACTGCTACGGGATTTGGTGGCAGAGCACCAATCCAAACAGAGCCTGGATGTGCTAAATCTCTGTGAGCGTGACCTGTCCCCAGGACTCACAGACTCTATGGCCCCATCCTCAGAGTTGAGCAAGGACAGCCTGGAAAAATTAGCTACAACTGCCCAGAAGATGGATGGAGTAGTTGAGGCAGCTCCTTGGGATCTAGACACAACGGCAGCTGAAACAGATGTTATAAATCAAGAGACAGATCCACTCTGTGCAGAGTGCCGACTGGTGCGACAGGATCCCTTGCCCCAAGACCTCGTGATGTTCCTGCATGCCCTGCGCTATAAAGGTCCGGGCTTTGAATACTGCTCACCCATGCCTGCTTGGGCACATGATGACTGGCAAGAAAACTGAGGGCTGTGGCCAATGGAGGGATTACTTTTTGGGTTGGAACAGGGACGGGCCATGTGGCAGGGGCTGACCTCATGGGTTGGTACTTAGGTTTTCTACAGGAATGAGGTTGCACTCTAAAAAGACCTGCTCATACTACCTCTTTCCTTCCTTTCCCTCTAGCTAGAGTTTGGGAACTTTTTGGTTTATAAATATATCCTTTTTTCTAATACCTTGTGTGTCTGGTTTTCTTACTGCTTGTTTCTTTTTCCTTCCTTTCCCTCTAGCTAGAGTTTGGGAACTTTTTTGTTTATAAATATATCCTTTTTTCTAATACCTTGTGTGTCTGGTTTTCTTACTGCTTGTTTCTTTTTTTTTTAAATCAAGATAAAGTTCACACAACATAAAATTAACTACTTTAAGATGTATATGTTAGTGGCATTTAGTATATTTACAATGTTGTGCAACCATTACCTCTTATATAGTCCCAAAACATTTTCATCACCCCAAAAGGAAACCTGTAACCATTAAGCAGTCACTGCCCATTCCTCTCTCCCCAGCCACTAGTAACCATTAATGTACTTTCTGTCTGTATGGATTTGCTTATTCCGGACATTTTATATAAGTGGAATCATACAATATGGGACCTTTTGTATCTATCTTTTACTTAGCATAATGTTTTCAAGGTTCATCCAATTCGTAGCATGTGCCAGTACTTTATTCTTTTTTTATGGTGGAATAATATTCCATTGTATGGGTGTAACACATTTCGTATATTCATCAGTTGATGGATGTTTGGATTGTTTCCGCCTTTGGCTGTTGTGACTAGTGCTGCTATGAACATTCATGTACAGGCTGGCCAGTTAGCTCAGTTTGTTAGAGCAGGGCCTTGTAACACCAAGGTAGAAGGGTTCAGTTCCCCAGACTGGCCAGCTACGAAAAGAAAAAGAAAAACAAAGTTAATGATAGCTAGAATGCTTTGTGCTAGAGCCAGGTAGAGTGGGAGATGCTTTACTCTCATTTGAGGGAAAGGTGGGAAAAAAACCATTCGTGTACAGGATTTTGTCTGAATACATGTTTTCAGTTCTTTTATACAAGGAAGGGTTTTTTGTTTTTGTTTTTGTTTTGCAGCTGGCTAGTACAGGGATCTAACCCTGGACATGGGTGTTATCAGCACCACACTCTAACCAGCTGAGCTAACTGGCCAGCCCAGTGTTCAGTTCTTTTGAGTACATACCTAGGAGTGGAATTGCTGGGTCATATGGTAATTCTATGTTTAACTCTTTGAGGAACCACCAAACCACCAAGTTTCCACAGAGGCTGAACTACAATGTACAAAGGTTCCAATTTCTCCACATCCTTACCAACACTTGCTATTGTCCATTGTTCTGATTATGACCATCCTACTGGAAATGAAGCAGTATCTCATTATGGGTTGTTAGTCTTTTTGTTGTGGAGTTGTAAGTGTTCTTTATATATTCTAGGTATGAGATCCTTATCAACAACAAAAAGACTAACAACCCAATTTAAAAATGGGTAAAGGAGGGGCTGGCCATTTAGCTCAGTTGGTTAGATTGTGGTGTTGTAACACCAAGGTCAAGGGTTCAGATCCCCCTACTGGCTAGGTGCAAAAAAAAAATTTATTTTTTATTTTTTATTTTTATTTTTTTAAAAGATGACCAGTAAGGGGATCTTAACCCTTGACTTGGTGTTGTCAGCACCACGCTCAGCTAGTGAGCGAACCGGCCATCCCTATATGGGATCCGAACCCTTGGCCTTGGTGTTATCAGCACCACACTCTCCCGAGTGAGCCACGGGCCGGCCCAGAACCTCATTCTTGAGAGAGAGACTGGATCTTCCTGAAGTTGGATCCAGAGAATGAAAACCCTGGCACTCAAATAGTAAGAGCTGAAATATCTTGATAATGTATTTGACTGTGCAGCAGCTCTTTTTTTGTGGTCTTCCAGAGGTTGGGGGGTCCTGCAATAGTTCAGGATAGTACTTGTGAGGAAGAACCTTGATGTTGATTGAGAATGGTTTCTTTGAGCTGTGGTTTGTTGATGAATTTGGGGGCATAGAGGAGATCTTTCCAAAAGTAGCAAATCATTCCTGTAGGATTATCTTGTCCAAGTCTTGCCGTTGCAGCTGCTCCAGTAGATGGCGCCTCTAACTCATTACTGCCTTAGCTTCTTTAAAGTTTCTGTTTCCATTACTAATTCAAGTATTTCCACCACCACCCCCCAGGGCTTTAAATAATCTGGCATGTTGTTGATTCTTTTGACTCTTTAAAAGGGGGGGGGGGGAGCACAGTTTTTATAGATCAATATAAATGCAAAAAATTGGGACCATCATATTGTCTTACTGTGATTTCATATGAAAGAAACCACAAATGAACAACTGAGCATGAAAACGGGTAAAGAACTGAGGAGTAGAAAAGTGAACTTCCAACTCACAATTTCTTCTTCTTTTTTCCCCCTCTAGACTCTTCCAGTGCATTGTATTTTCAGAACTTCTACAGCTGAAGATTTGACTTTGAGAAAATAATCTATCCACCTTTTATTTGTAGAAACGGGACACATTGATAGACTTTATCTATTTTCCAAGGGAAGTCATCACTGCAAGAAGCTGGTAAAACTCCAGGAAAATGATGCAGACCTGCCAGTCTCTAGTGAGGTTGCAGCACTACAGGCAATTTAAATACTGCCTGGCAAGTGCTACAGGAGCATATAGGAGGTGTGCAAAGGCCCAGAAGCAAGAGAGAGCACTGGGGCTAGTTGAGGGAAATGTAAGAGTGAGCTGCAGGTTTTATGGCTAGGGGAGCCTTGTTGATGGGGATGACATTTAAGCTGAGATCTGAAGAAAGAGCAACAACCAACTAGGCAGTGACAGGATGGGAAGGAAGGGGGGAGGGGGTTCTGGGCGTTTTCCAGGGGGAGGAATAGGGACAGCATCTGCAAAGGTGTTGTGGAGAGAGAGCAAGCCCTAGTTCAGGAAAGATAAGATCAGTGTCTCCAGGGCGATTTAAAAAGGTCCTGAGGGGCTCTTAATTTTTTTGTGACACAAATCCCTTTGTCATTCTGGTGAAGCCTATGGATGTCTTCTCAGAATATTGTTTTTAAGTGCATAAAAATATGTGGGAATACAAAGGCAACCAATTACAATGGAATACAGTTATTAAATTTTGTTTTTAGTTTGTGATATAGTAATGTATGTACTAATTTATGAATGTATAACATGACAAGATCTAATGGCAGTTCTAATAATTACCATAATTTTGAAGTAATAATGAGCATGAAGCAATAACGGTAATGTGATATAAAAATATGTGACTTCTATTGGTCACAAAGTTACAGGTAAAGTTAACACTACTGTAGTTTGTTGTTTAGATATACTGAAAGAAGTACTTTTAATGAGAGATTATGAAAATAAGGATGCAATCTTTTTTCCCAACCAAATAACCCACTGAATTTTATCCATGGACCCTTGGTAATTGTGTGGAACCCAAGTAGAAACTCTTCCTAGCAGCAGGGTAGTGAATGGAATGAAGAGCAAGGCTAAAGACAGGTGCCCCAAACTCCTCAGCCCAAGAAAATAATAACTTTCCCAAGGGATTTGGATCTCAGAGCGAGGAAACAGTGGAGCCCTTAGAGAAGGGGTTACTGCCTTCCACCCTCAGGGTGGCAAACCTTGCTGAAGCACCTGCCAGGTGCTGGGTTCTGGAGCAGCATGCGCGCGCTGCAGCCACCTTGTGGGGCACAGAATCTATAACCCATTACTGCAAGAGATTGATGAGCGCTGTTTATTAATCTCCAGCACTGTACAGGATGGTGGTTAAGAGCCACCAGAGTCCGACAGATTTGGGTTACACTGCCCTTTCTGCAATTTAGAAGCTGAATAACCTTGGGCAAGCTAATCTTTCAGTGTCCTTATCTGTAAAATGGAGTAATAAAAATATCTGTCGTGATCACAGGATTATGGTGAGTTAAAGTGATGTAATTCATGTAAAACGTGTGGTGCCTGTAGATATTACATACCGGATAAATAAACGTTGTTAAATGTGAGTTGAATGAATCTGCCTGATGACATTTCAAGAGGGGGATCTCTGTTCTTTTCCTGCTCCCTGTCACTCCTCTGGTTAAATCCAAGAGAGTTCGTTTAACCCCTTCCTCTCCCCTGGTCTTCAGTCTCTTGGCTTCAAGATATTAACAGGGTTCCGCATGTCATCAACATCTTTTTAAGGTTTCTCGGTGTTTACATTTCTTGAGTACCTGCCGCCTGCTAGAGCTGGAAGAGAATCCTGAACACTGTCTCGCAGTGGCTTTTTAAGTGAAACCTGACATTTCGTAATCACGACAGATATTAAAAACCTTAGAGTAAGATTCCACAATACTAGAAGCCCCTCAGTTAGGAACTAGATTAGTTTAAGTTGGAGCGGACCAGCATTGGAACACATGAGATGATAATAATCGTGGAATTCTGTGCAGTTGTTTACTTCGTATGAAATTAAATCCAGTAAATTTTCTGATTCCCAGAAAAAGTTTTTACCTCTCCCCTTCTTTTTATCTATGAGGTCAGAACGCTCCGTAGCAGTATTTCAAATATTCCAAACCAGAAATTGACGGTGCCATATTAAATTGACTAAAAAATCATTACCAGAATATTCAACTGTTTCCAGTCTGCAAATAAATTTACATACACCGGTTCAAATCTGAGGCAAAATAGAGTGTCGACGAGGATGGGATTCGAACCCACGCGTGCAGAGCACAATGGATTAGCAGTCCATCGCCTTAACCACTCGGCCACCTCGTCACAGAAACTATCGTCTTCCTGATAGCTATAGAGAGTAATTTTAGGGGGATGTGACGCAATGTTATGGAAATCGCCATTTTGTACGGAAGCCAAGATCCCATCACTTCTATAGCAAGCAATCGAAAGAAAATGGCCGTTCCCATGCATGGGAGGGGTCTGCATTATAGACGTCAAACGAAAGTCGATAGAAAATGAGATAAACTTGAAGGAAATAAAATTGACACAGAGGCTGAGAGAGTTTGATTAAAGAAATGGGGTTGGTCTGGACTGTAAGGGGAGGAACCAACGAGTAGAGCAGCTTTGCGCATGCGCGTCAGTTAGGCGGTTAGATTTGAATACTTCACTGAGGCAGGCTGGGTGTTGTGAGATGACGTCTAGAGGCGGCAGTGAGCTTCCTCTCTGAGGAGCGCGCGGACCCCAGAC